GTCCCCTTGGTGTGGCCTACAAAAGGACGCACATCCGTACCACCAAAACTATACGTCTCTGGTGTAACCAGGAGGCGCAAACAGACCGTGGGCGTGTCCCTCTGTACGCCCATGAGCAAGAGCGACACATCACGTGCGGATCCTCGTAGGCCTCGAGGCTCTGGCGCTGACGGGGCTCGGGTGGGCGGCCTTCTCCAACATGTTCTTCGCGGCGCTGCATACGCAGCAGCAGCTGCTGTCGGCACGCCAGGCGTGGGGTGGTGGCACCCAAAACCAGTGGAGGAATCCTCAAACCTTGGTGATTCGCAGCCATCTCCTGAGCTTTTTAAACCTGTTTAGTGTGTATTTTAGAGGTGGATCTAAGGACAGTTGTTGGAGTGAGAGGGGCGCCCCGTTTTGGGGAACCAACCCCTTGTGAATCGCGCGGCGTCTGCTGCCAGGGCGCTCGGATCCAGATGGATGGTCCTTCTGCGCGCCGTGTGGGGGAGGTCTTCCTTTGCGCGGAGGCGGGAAAGGGAGTGGGGGAGGGGGGGGGGTTCGGCAAAGCCATTTTTGCCAGAGTTGTGTCCTGGATGAATATGTGGCTTATGGGTTGTCTTAACATGTTGCATCCAAAGATCCCAAGTTGGGGCACCTCCATTTGAGCTTTTGGGGCATGTCCAGCAGTATCCTCTGTTGGTTTCAACAGGTACTGGCCATGGCTGGTAATTCTTCTTGCCCACCGGTGCAAACGTCACGTGCTCAGGAACTGGGTAATGCCAACCGAGGATTAACAAACCCCTATAAATATGGGGGTGTCCCTGGTTTAGTGGGGGTTCAGACCACTTTTGGAAGGGAACACCCCCATATGAATAAGGAGGGGTTTAATAATCCGGGGTCGGGGTTTACGATGAGCAAGGCTGCGGCAGCCGCTGCTCAAGAAAGCATCTGGACAGTATATATATGCAATTACCCATCTTTTTTTTGGGTTTGCCTTTGGGGGAAATCAGCCATCATAGGCTATGTCGCATTTGCTGGGCGAAAACTGGCTCCGATTTGGTTTGCTATGGAGCCATGCGAAAAGAGGATCCCCTGCTTGGAGAGACACCCATGTACCCATGTGTCTACAACTTATACTTGGGGTATGCATGGGCTGTGCACAATACACACACATATATGTATATATATATATATGTATATATATATATATATCGTATATTTGGGGCACGTAGCCCAAGTGGGCCAAGCTGTGCAGCTCCTTGAGTGCAACTTGGCCAACTTGCAAACCCCCTTTGCCAGCTTCTCTACGTGTACCATCAAGAAACTCTATTTTCCCACTACTTTATTTTTGGAAGCAGGTGTGCCCAGACTTCGCCTATATACCTGGTGATCTTTTGGCGGATCCGCTAACTCAGTTGTTCAAAGCGAATCGACCTTTCAACCTTTTGGTTTTCCCTTGGTCCAATTTTAGTAAAGGTCCCAAAAGATTGCCCTTCCTCTCACGGCACCTGGGAGGTACCTGGAAGAGGAGTTTCCTCTTGAGGAGACTTCCTGTCAGGTGCCATGTTACGGGGAGTGCCTTTTTTGAGGGTTCCCAAGGAACCCTTTGTCTACCATATGCATAAAGAACTCCTGATAGCTCCCAAAGCGAAAGGCTATTCAAAGGCAAATCTGAATACCCCCAGCTCCTTGGATCACTTCCAACCACCAGCTAGTTAACATTTGCAACCAAGCCGAAACCAGTGGAATCACCTACCTTCAACCAAGCTGAATCCAGAAAGGTTGCCTATTTCCAGATCCCCAATAACCAAGTGGTGGTTTTGCTATTTTATGTTGAACTTCCTTAGGTTAATAATGGTGGTTATACTAACCCTCACTTGCCCAAAGCCGACCTTGGGTAGATGAAGGTTAGTAATGGAGCCAGAACCAGCTGCGGCCGCTTTTGATTCCACTTCCTGGATTTGGGCTTGGACCCTTTGAACTTTTTTTTTTGCGCTTTCAACTTTCCGAACTTGAAATCAGCCACCCACTTGCCGCTCTTACAGACTTCTTCCGAGCAACCCGCGCGAAAAGCGGGAGCGACTTTCTCCGAGCAACCCGCGTTTCCGGGAAGCGGCAAGCGGCAAGCGGCTCACGTGGGCGCCGAGAGCCGAGGCCTGCGTGGGCCGAAAACGCCTGGTGGAGCTCTTGGCGCCGGCGGGCCGGCGGCTCGCCGCGGCGGCGGCGGAGGGCCTGGAGGCGAGGGACGTGGCGCAGCTGGCGCTGCTGGAGGACGGGTCTGGGAGCTTTGCCTAGGGGTTTGGGGTTGCCTTACAAAAGCCAAAAACACATGTAGAGGGGGGGGTGGAGTTTAATGGTTGGTTGGTTGGTTGGTTGGTTCACCTTTGTTTACGACTTCTTGCTGGAGGAGGCGTGCCCCCTTTAAAAGCCAAAGATTGAGTGACCTTTTTTCCCATGGCCGCTCCCTGACTCAGTTCAATGCCGCTTCCGTCTTGGTGGGTTCGGGGCCGCCTACAAATCGCCAAACTCAAACTACCAGGTCGCTGACAAACTAGGAACGTCAACTTTTTTTTTAGTGTTTGGGGGGGGGGGGTGAGCACTGTTTTGCTCGGTTTTCAAGTGAATCCAACATCAAATGAACAATTTCTTGCGCCCCCTCAGATCGGACCATTTTGGTGGCAAACCAATAATGCTTCTTTTGGCCAAACATCGGCACCCGAGCATACACCACCCTTGGTAGTGACTGTGCTCAGTGGGGAATCATGATTTCATGGGCTATTGGTACCCGGTGGGGAGCATACCAAATCGGGTTGTCTCAACATAATTTGTATAAACATGCGTAGGTGGCATGCAATTGTACAAACAATTGTACAAACATTGAACATAATTGTCCTTTAAGTCTTGCTTCTTCTCGGCTGGGAATCGTTCCAGCCAGCATATATGGTCCCGGGCTCCGGGTTCCCAGTCCCCCCCCTCATGGTATCCCCAGACCCCGACCCCTTCACCCCCTGAACCCACACCTCGGCACGCCCTGCGCCCAAACTGACCCTAAACTAACCCTAAGCCAACCCTAAACTAGCTCGAAACACACATCTTAAACCAACACTTGACACGTTCTGAACACCCTCTAAACCAAGCCTGAACCAACTGAATCAACCCTAAACCAACCGTAAACCAACCTTAGATTAACCCAACCCCTCAGCACATATCTTAAACCAACACTAAACCACCCCTGCACCAAGGACAAAACACACACATCATCCTAAACCAACACTAAATACACTCTAAACCAACCATAACCCAACCTTAAGCCAACCCTAAACACATATTCTAAACCAACACGAACACACTCTAAGTCAACCCTAAACCACCCTAAACCACTACAACTAGATCAACCCTAAACCAAGTCTAAACCACTACAACCCCACCACCGGGGGGGGGAGGGGTGGTCTTAGACCAACCATAAACCAACCCTAAACCACACCGCAACCACACCACAGGGGGGGGGGGAGGACTGGAAACCCTGGGGGGGGGGAGGGAGGGGGGGGACTTGTGAACCCTTGACCACATATAGTGACAAAAACATGGTGACATGTGGACAAGTGAGTATGTCCAATTTGGGACCGTCAAACCTTGCAGTTGCTGGTGATGGCTACCAGCATTGCTCAGGAAGTTTGGGTTGAAGGCCTCCTGCTGGGACGATTTTAAGCCATCGTGAACCCTCCTCAGCCATGAACGGTTGGTCGAACTGGCTGTCTCTCTGCACAGGGGTAGTTGCACTCGTTCAAGGTTGCGCGCCAGGACAAAGTAGAAACCGAAATGCAAGAGCTTCCCGGATTTGCCGAAGTTCAGCTCTCCCCCAAATGGTTTGGATTGGCGTCTTGGAAGTTGGGGGGTGCCGGGTAGCTTACTTGCCCACCTACAAGATCCAGGGGTTCAAATCCACTGAGGTCCGCAGGTGTGGCCAGCCTCTCTTGAAGTCTCCCAGTCTCCAGCGATCCTGCGCAGGAGCTGGCGGTGAGGCTGAACTGAGAGAGCGCTCGCTCCAGAGTCACGAGCCACAAAGCAGAGATCCGCAAAGAGACGTTGAGCCCACCCAAAGCTTGGAAAAAGTCCAGGCGCCCAAAGCGCACCAGCGCTGCCTTGCACCCCACAAGGGGTCGGCAAGGAGGAAGTGCTCCATTTGCCCAAGAAGCAACTTTTGAACTCTGGGAAGACTAAAAAGGCCATGGGTCAAAATCCCGTACCCCCAGTGAACATCCCAATCCCTACTAAAATAGACTAACATGGGTGGTGCACCTACCCCAAAACGGTACCATTGGTTTTGGCCCACATCCTCTTTGTTTCAAAGCAAAACTTGGCCCCTTTGCCCAGGCCGGTAATGTTGCCTGTAAGTCTGGCCCAAAGCCACAAGTCGCAGACGGGGAAACAAAAGCCCGCAGCGCGGGGCCGCGGTTTGCTCGGCAAAGCCGCGCAAGCCGTGCCCAAAGTGCCGAGTGTCTCTAGCGTTCACCCGGGTCTTACGGGTCTCATGGAGTCGCGGGTGGTGAAAATGGGCGGCATGCAAGCTCATGATGCAGTGACGCGAGCCTCCCCCACCCCTATGGCCCTCTCTCAGCAAGGCCCCTTAGTAAAACCAACAAACCACCTGGAGTTCCAACACCGGGTATGGGCTAAAGATTGATTCCGGGATTCCGCTACCCCCAGAAAAATAATAGTAATAAAACATAAAACAAAACAACACAAAACAACACAAAACAAAACAAACAAACAAACAAACAAACAAACAAACAAACAAACAAACAAACAAACAAGCAAGCAAACAAACAAGCAAGCAAGCAAGCAAGCAAGCAAGCAAGCAAACAAACAAACATGGGGTATACACCACTATATAATACCATGTAAAGGGTATACGCCTGCATTTTTGTTGGGGGTAGTGGTTTCATCGGTTTGGGGGTAGTGGAAACCATCTGGGACAGTAGCATTTGCCCAACCCCGGCATGGTCAAAGGGCCCTTTCAGGCGGAGCAGTACCACCACCGCATCATCAAGGTCCGCGAGGGTTCCTCGGGCACGGACCACCTGGAGACTCTGCAAGCGGCGTCTGGGAAGAAGTTGGAGCTTGGCCGAGGCTTCCGCGAGTTTGGGGACTGTTAATTTCAGCCAATTGTCCAGGGTTCGCTTGCAGGAACCGGGAAAAATGGACCTGGGATTGATAAAGCCCGGTGGGTTTTGGTTGGGGCAAAGCGCGTTGGAGGGGGAGTTGCACCCAAAATAGGTCGCCACTTTGCTTAAATTCAAGCTTAAGTCCCATTTGGCTTATCAAATTTGTCCACTTTTTCTTGGTATGCCGATCTTTTGACACAAAGGATCTGGCAGCCGATGTGAAGACCCCCCCTTCATGGACCCCAGCTGCCAAGTGGGCTCCGGGGGCTAAGTCACACCTTTGGCTTGCCGTTGGCGAGAATTTCGTGAATTAGAGCCCTAGGTTCCCATTTGCCAGGGACGCCCATCGACTTTTCCAAACGGTCACCTATGCTGAAATCCAATCCTCTTCTGAGGGTTAAAAGGAACTTCCACGAGCCCTTCCTGCAGGGGTTTGAACCCTTCCTGCGGGGCGTTCGAGCTGTCTAGTTGTCGGCGGGTTAGCGTCTGCTAAGATCTCCAACCTCGCCTTCATGTACAAGCTGATGGGGCAGTTGGACAGGGCGCGGGACCTTACGTGGCGACTTTTCTTGCTCGCCTCAGGCCTCCTCTCTCTCTCTCTCTCTCTCTCTCTCTCTCTCTCTCTCTTTGTGTGTGTGTGTGTGGGCGGGCGGGCGGGCGGGCGGGCGGGCGGGCGGGCGGGCGTGTGTGTGTGTGTGTGTGTGTGTGTGTGTGTGTGTGTGTGTGTGTGTGTGTGTGTGTGTGTTTGGTTGGTTTGGTTTGTTTGTTTGTTCGTTCTTCCTCTCTGTCTCTGCCTCTGTCTCAGTCTCAGTCTCAGTCTCAGTCTTCCCTCTCTGTCTGTCTGTGTCACTCTCTCACTGTCCCTCTCCTGACTCCCCTTGTCTCTCGCTCACTCCATCGGATTGCAAGAGCCTGCGCAAGGAAGAGAGCGAGTGGAACCCTCAAAATGTGACGCCCAAGGCTCCCGCTAGAAAGGGGAAGGGACGTAGTTTTGCAGATTTCCTCATGCTCATGGCAAGAGCCCTGCGCCAAAACTGAGTCCTTTGGCTTTGGGTCCTTTGAAATTTCTCCCCCTGCATCACTGCATCACACCTTCCTCCTGGACTGAGCCTTCCTTGCACGTTGTTTTGTTGCTTTAAGCTCCTTGGTTGCCGTGACGCCCTTTCACTTGTAGTCGATGGCATTGGCTTACGTCAGGTGACCTTAGGTCACTTTGGCTGCAAATCGACAGCGCTGGTTTCAGTTTGGTTGCGATCTTCTCTAAGAATGCCATGTTTCTGCCAAGGGCACGGCTACATGTAAGGCCTCGTCCAGAGCTCAAGTCTTTCTTTCCACGGCAAGTTTGGACAATCCATTGGCCAAACCAGGTCCAAGGGGAGACAGAGGGGGTGGGGGCCGGGGGGGTAGTTGACAGGGCTCCTTAACAAATACATTTTGCCCATTTGAAACATGTTGCTTTTTCGACGCCAAAATAAAAGGAAACCACCATTTCCAAGTTGCAATGTTCAGGTGTATAATGCATCCGGATCCCTGTGTAGTGGCTTCCTGTAGGGGATTAGGGACAATCGGATTGGCCAAGACAAAGGGGGTCGGCCGAGGGGTTGACACCCTATGACTTGTGGTTGGTTCTTTGGGTTTCAGCCCTCCCCTCAGCCCTCAGGCGGAGCCCCTGTACCGGCGCGTCCTTGCCAGTCACGAGAACCACCTGGGCCCTGCACACAACGCTGCTCGGCCAAGCGGCTGTGCCGGCTTCCTCATGGACTTCCAGTTGCTTAAGAATATGTTGTATTTCCCCCTCTTTGGTTTCAAAGGGAATCTGTCACTACTGGGATCGTTTTTCGTTTTTTTTGGTCCATGGGGCTTAGGCAAAGGGAAGTAGAGGCAGCTTCTCCATCAAGCTCAAAGCGCACAGACAAACACTCAGCACCACGCCTAGGCTCGTTGAACTTCAGAATCTCGGTCGAAGCCACTGTCACGAAAGCCTAGTGGCCCCAAGCTCTGCGAACCCTGAGCTGGCTGATGAGTTTGTGGTGCCTTGCGCCATCAGGAAAACACCGCTATCATGGGCATCTTCCTCAAAGTGGTATCTTCCACGGTGGGGATTCCGTTTGACTGCAACATCAACCACCATCCCTTTATTTCCGGGAAAGCCCATCCCATTTTACAGCCTTGTTTGTGTTACCCAGGAACCTGTACCGCGCGACGGGTGGGCAAGACAGTGTCCCGTTTTTTTTGGGGGTTCCCTTTAAACACCCGCGGGAACAAGT